CTCCTACTCTCTCCCTGCGTAGGCTCACACCATGTATCAAGTGGGTCTGATGGAGACCGACCAGCACATCGAGTTCTTCTGGACCGCCCTGGAGATGTTCACTCAGGAGGAGCTCTGCAAGTTTATCAAGTTTGCGTGCAACCAGGAGCGCATCCCGTTCACTTGCCCCTGCAAGGACGGGGGGCCTGACACAGCCCACGTTCCCCCATACCCCATGAAGATCGCCCCTCCTGATGGAGCTGCAGGTAATGGATGACAGGGTTCCAGCAGGGCCCTGATTGGACTCTAGAGCTGCTATCTTTGTGTGACGCTCATAATAGTGCTGTTGGTGCGGAAACTACTGATAGTGATTATCAAAACAGCTCATCTTGGTCTTGCAACTTTAAACAGACTTTGAACATGTACTTTGCCATAGGTTGGTTGTGTTTGTATATAGATGAGACACAGAAGTTCCAAAATGAACTGATTTGTAAAATTCAGTTCATTCACTGGAGTGGAATCTGTCTGTACTTATGAAGTCACATTTTAAAATCACAGGCTAAAACAAAGGGTTTACTGTGGTTTACAACAGATAAGATAGAAGATAAAGCTCACTTTTATCAACTAAACAAGCTTATTATCACCGGAACTTACAACACAGCAACTCACTGGCCCTCTGCAGTTCCATCAGCAACTCTAGTGATTAAAAACACACAACAATTCTCATAATTGAAAAGAAGCTTCGAGTGATTTTGTTCCACTTTTCTGTTTCCTCTCCAGGTCAGCCAGACTCGCGCTACATTCGAGTGGAAACCTGTATGTTCATGGTGAAACTGCCCCAGTACACTTCTTTGGATGTGATGCTGGAGAAACTTCGCTACGCCATCCACTACCGCGAGGACCCCCTCAGCGGCTAAGAAGACTTGACAAGCCAACGTTCCCAAGCATACGTACCTAACACCCCACCCTTACTTTTGACCCCTTCTTCCATTCATCTCCACACTCCTGGACCTTCCTCTGAGACAAACCTTTATGCTTTGCTGCACCAACAAGCCACAACGTTCATTTCATTAAATTTTTATTTCGGGTGGCAATTAATGTTTTGTTTTTCCTGCATTTATATTGCAGTTTACACAAATACTACATTTCATGGTTATGTTTTTTTTTTTTTTAGGGAATTCAGGGAAGATAATCTGAATCAGCACTGATGTTGTTGACAAGTCTGTTGTGGTTGCACTGAGTTTGAGGATGCCATTTAAGTGAAACAAATGTGAGCCTGTTTTTGTTCGCCTTTTCCCTTCCCTTTCCTTCAACAGAGGGTTTTACAAGATTCAGTCAAGTTCTGTGAATTTAACAACTTAGTGGGATAACTGCAGAAAAGCACTTTACAGTTGCAAGTTCAGTGCACGACTGCTGAACATTTGCGCTTTGAAAGCGTGGTCTCTGCAAAACTAGCTCTACTCTCGGTTGCTGGAATTGACATTGCCATGAAGGCAACAAGCAAACTTTTACTCATCTAATGCTTAACCTAGCTGCCTCCCTCTGTCTCCCCCAGGTGGGGGTGATGTTCTGAACCATGCCTTTGCTGTAGGAGCCTCTCTCTAAAGAGTGATGCTGGTTGTGAGAAGAAAGCCCAAACAATTTTCATAGAAACACCCAGCATTTGAGATGGAGGTACGATCACTACCAGACACAGGAAATGTGAGATGCTGCCTATTTTTGACCACGTCAGCTAAGAGCAGGCAGAAGATGTGAACAAGTGCTGTACATGATATTATGTAGTTTACTGCCTGTTTTAAAAAAATATGAACTGCTAATGGACAAACTAACTTATGCCTATATAAACTGAATACATTTTATTCAAGTCTCTGAAGAGAGGGTATTTAAGTCATGTAAAAAGTCATATTAATCTATTAGTTTATGAAATTGCTCTTTGATTTTTTGATATCTGAGTAGCTGAGGCAGCATGGTAGGTCAGGTGTATTGGACGATAAAAGAGGCCTGCAGGTTCCGATATACTTGCATTTCAGGTTTGTGAAACCTGTGTTGCTTTGTGAAAATGGGAATGAGGTCTCATGAGCTGCTCTCCCACATTGTTTGTGTGCTACTGCTACTGAATGTGCAACAAATCCTCCCCTGCTCCCCGACATACACAATCTACACACATACACTGGGGGAGAAGCGGTGGATTATCTTGAGTTCTGCCTTTTCATAGTTTTCTTTAATGAAAAATGAACAGGATTCTGCTGTTGTTTTTTTTTCTTTTTTCTTTTTTTTTTTGGTTCATTTTACCATAACCAAATGTTTAGCTGTGTAAAAATTAAATAGAAAAAAAAATGTAAATAAACTGAAGTTATGTTTGATGGCAGTTTTTATTAATTGCTAATTCACTTCACTTTATAATTTTTTTTTTTTTTTTTTGGTTTGCACTACTCTTCCAAGAAAAGATTCTAAAAATGAGCAAACTAGGTGATGTCTGTTGGATATCCAGTTTGTTGTGTTGTTATTTTTTATGAATTTTGGAAATACCAATAATCTTATCACCTTTGTCTTGTACTCAGATGGATTCAATTTCTTCTACTCATGGTGAAACATGTTTTCTTGTGTGAGTAAAATCGCCATTTTACTTGGATAGAACTGAAAAACACAACAGAATTGACATTTGACTAATTGGATTGTTGAATTGCTTGCGAGTTTTGGTTTCGGTTCAGTTCTTTTGAAGGGTGATATACTGCTGCTAACAGGGACGCTCTCTCTTCTGCTCCCTCCTACTCAGGAGGAGCAAGGTTATAAAAAGGACATATCCATACAAAGAGGTGTTGCGATAAAATGTGTGCTGTACATTTACTTGATATTTATTACAATTATTTATGGTTGCATTAACTTAACTTTTACTGTCTTACCTCTGCACATCAGAAACTTAACATATCTAAAATGGATTATACAGATGTAAAGAATCAGATGGCATTTGAGATTTCTGTGTCACAATAAAGAAATGTCTTCATGTACAAATATTGTATGACACTGCTTGTTTCTTTAACCACATTTCTCAATCAAACTTAACTTATAGAGCGAATAAGCAAATTTTGCAAATGCAATTGTGTGAAATCAAATGTTTAAAAATGCATTTAGAGACTAATTCACACCAAATTAGCTAAATTAAATAAGACAAAATAACAGATGGTTGCTGAGATAATGAACCAACCATAGCAAGGGAAAAAATATAATAAAAATAAGGTTATGAAGCACCACACAAAGGAAGTTGATTATTACAAAAGAATGAAATTAAATCAAGTACGTCAGCCTTTATCACATCAGTCAGTTGGACATTCAGAGTGTCTGCGAAAACAAGTTTTGTAAATGAATGTTTTCTCCTCTGAATCCCCCCAAAATGGGTAATTTGCATGCTCGGCTGACCAGCGTTGATACGGCGCATCGGACACGCCTGTTACAAATCTGCATGGACAATGAGTGTTCATCATGATGAATGATCTCCATGAAGCATGTTTAGCTTCTTTTAGAACAGGCTTTTTATGTAAGGCCCCTCAACCGAGTCTGGTTACATCACCGCTGCCTGTAAACCAGACACCTTTTCAAAGCAGCAAGTGCTGGGCCAGGCCAGTTCTAGCTGGATCTCTAGTCATGGTCCTCACTGACTCACTTCATCCCTTCAGCTCCATTATGTGATATATACAAAGGAAAACCCTCCACAGCTATAGAAGCAATGTATAGAAATCAGCTCATGCAGCAGATATTTCAGAGTTAGACTGCAACATCTATTGTCAGCATTCTTGGATTATGTGAAGCTCCTCCAGCTGACCTGTACCGTGACGTGGTGTCAACAGTGTGGCTACTGTACAGAACATGATTTAACTACCACATCTAAAATGTCACCCAGGAGGAATCCTGAGAATGACTCCAGCACGTTTACTGGTTGCTTTCGAAAGAGCCAATCAACTGGCCCTCACACACAGCTGTCTCCTCTATTTCTGACATAACAGCCCTCCGCCCGGGTTCTAATGACTGTCAGACCAATGAGGAGCGAGGAAAAGGGCCACATCCCTCACAAACCAGCCAATTGAACGCTGGAAAGTTTTACGTTTTTCGAAAGGTGTGGCGATTTCTGCTGTGGTGACACGCAACTGACCCATTAACAGCTTGAGCAACCTGAATGCCTGTAACGCAGAGAGGCCACTTGACCTGACTGGAAGACACTGCAGCGTCATAAAACTCACATTCTAGTCAGTGTGAACATGCCGTCTGGGCTGGGGGCATTCATTTATTGCTTTGTTGAAAGCTTGTTCAGGTTTTAAACTTTGTTGCTCAAAGATACAAATCTAAAAACACTGTGTCTGATTTAACACACACTAAGGCAAGAGGAACTCAGTTAGAGATTAATTTACTGAGCTGATAAAGGGATAATAGTTGTTGTACAAGCGTACTAGCAATTTAATGAAATGGGGAGATTTTAATTAGTCGGAAGCCCAAATTTACATTTGTACTGTTTAAACACTCCTTTATGAGAAGTTATATTAAAATGCTTTACATAGCAGATGCATTACATAAACAGTATAGTGTAAACACATCTTAGACTGTAGATTGAAGTAGCTTTTTTTCTTTGCATGTTGTGTTTGCTTCACTTACAGATTTACAATATAATCCAAGTGACCGTGAAGGTTTTAGGTCAATTATAACATCAGTTTTGGGGCCATCGAAATCAAAATATCAGATGACAGTCTGTCAACGGTTACATATTAATCTGACCATCACTAGCAGTGACTTCGTTTGAGAGATGATGTTTTTAATTACCTCAATTTCTTGTTGTCAGCCAACATCTGCACCAATATATATGAAGCATTAACCAGAAGTACATTCATGTGTTGGTTAAAGTTTATGTGCAATAACATATTTTTAATCTGTATTTACTTGCAGGTAGGAATGAGAAGTCAGAGAAATGATTGAGAAATATAATTTATTACATTTTAAATACATTTCAAAGTACAAAAGCAGGACAACAATACAGAAGGACTTTTACAAAGCAAGCTTACTAAATACAACCTAAATGTGTCAGTATAGTTTTTCTTTACATTTTTTGCTTTCCTAATAGATTTCTCTGTAGTTAAAAACTAGCTCCAACACAGTTTTAAAATAAAAACAATCCCTCCAGCAGCTCGCCCTCATATTTTTCAGTCTCAGTGCTCATGAGAGTTTCAGTCTGGAATGATTCGGTCTATGGAGCACATTGAATAATGGGCTTTCAGGGAACCAGCTGATGGAGAAGGAGAGGTAAGGTCAGGGAGACCCGAGGCAGCGCTAGAAAATACCGAGCTGTTTTTTCAGCCTCTTCAGCTGCTCCATGCTGATGTTGTTGCCACCGCACACCACAATGACCACCGGGCCCAGCCGCTGCGCCAGCTTGCCCTCATCCTGCAGCCTTTTGATAACGTCACTGTACACAGCTGCCAGAGCGGCACCACAGGCCGGCTCCACCAGGACCTTCTCATCATCTGCAGAAAAGAGCAAACACCAGGAGGGATGAGTCTTATTGTTATTGTAAAATCTATTGCCCGTGTGCTCAGGTGCAGATTTTTACTCACCTACGAAGCGTTCGACGGCTTTCACAGCCTCCTGGTCTGTGACTACTTCTGAGAAAACTGTGTGCTCTCCCACCAGCTTCATTGTCTGCGCTGAGACCCTCGTGAGGCCCAGTGTGGTTGCGACACTGAAGAGGAAAAGACAAGGTCACCACAGGAAGAGAAAATGCAGATCCAACTGCCAGATAACGTCACTATCTGGAGGCAGGAGCACTTTTAATTAGGTCGCATGCAGTACCTAGTGATTGCAGGTAAAGTGACGAGCTCTCCCGCCTTCATGGCTGCATTGAGACTGTGTGCTCCAATGGTTTCCATGGCTACGATGGGCACGTCAGCCCAGTCGGCGCGACGCAGCCCCTCCACCACCCCATTCAGCAGGCCTCCGCCTCCCACCGACAGCACGATCGCTCCTGGCTTCTCCCTCAGGTCCTGCTCCAACTCCTTCACCAGAGACGTGTGGCCTTCCCTACACACACAAACACAAGCTGTCAGTTCCTAGAAAAGTCAATGCTGATTTCACTACTATGTAGACAATCTGTGCACGCTGCAGCCCAGTTTGTTTCTCCCTGAAATGCAGGTGCATCATAAAAAGCCAATTATACCCTAAGTAGCCCATGCTTTCAGTCGTTTATGACTGCGTTTAACACTTTGACTGTGACGTCTAATAGGTGAAAGTATTATCTGTCAACCCCCAGCTGAGATAACTTCTATCTGACATAACACCTCATTCAGCCTCTGCAGCTGTTGTACGCGTGAATGACGGAGCATGATAAGGCAGGTGTTAACTATCAGTCATTTACACGATCCTCATCTCCTGACAACACAATAGTTTATACGTAGCAATGCGAACGCAGTCCCTGATGGACAGATGCACAGAGAATATCCTACCAGATGAGGGGATCATCAAAGGGGGAGATGAATATCCAGCCGGGGTTGTTCGCCACAAGCTGCTGTCCGTATTCAATGCTTTCATTTAGAGCCTGAAAAGGACAAGAGACAGCTTCAGTTAATCTGGTGGATTAAAATCATTTTAAGTCAGAACAAAAAATGTTGTGTATGTTGTTGCAAAAGCATCTATTCTTGGCTTCACACATCATCACAGATTCCACTTCAATTAGATGGATTAGATAAATGTACTCAAAAAACATTAAGTCACAATCAGTGCTAATTCATTCATTTTTTTGTCAAACAATGTATAACTCAATGATGAAATCGAGTAAAACCTTGTGCACAAATGTAACCAGAATCTACCATTTACTTACATTAAAAAATGTAATATGACTGATATAAAGAATCTAGTAAACAACACCTGAGGAACACATGATAATAACCAACCTTTCCATGGATGACCACAGTGGCCCCCTCGTCCTTCAGCCTCTCCACTGTCAGGTTCGGTGTGACACTTGGCACAACTATGGTGGCAGGAACCCCGAGCTGCCGGGCAGAATAAGCTGCTGCCATGCCAGCGTTTCCTCCTGTTGTAGCCAAAATCATCGAAATTACACATTCAAACAAACCGACGCGGCCGAGGACGTGCAACGATTATTTTTGCACTGGTGCTCACCTGAACAGCAGACAAATCGCTCACATCCTCGCTCGGCCCACTACAAAGAAAACCAAAAAAGAAACATCACAGTCAGCACAACGCCCCAGTACTCAAGACTGCAGCTGACACACTTTTCCAGACTGGTTTCTTGCATCATCAGCAACATACTCTTTCAAAATCAGGACAAATCACACAATTGTGGATAAGAATTACTCACAGTTTTGCAGAGGTGTCCGATGCCCCTGATCTTAAAGGAGCCTGTGGGCTGAGATGAATCCAACTTGAGATAAACAGAGGTCCCAGCCACTTTGGTGAGGGCAAGGCTCTGCCTCACTGGAGTGGCCACATGAAGAGGTTGCTGGGTCTTCATCTCACTGTAGATCAGACAAGCAGGGGGATACATTTGAAGAAACACATAACTCTAAAGATCAAGCTCATGAAAGAAAGATGTGCAAGTGAAAGCAAAGCAGATTTGGAGATTATTTCAACTTCTTCCTAATTGAACTTCTTTCTCAGTGATGACCACCAATCACTTACGATGATAAGAAAAAAGATGAGAACTTACCAGCCTCAGTTGGAAGATAGGAAGAGTTGTGATGAGTATAAGATGAAGAGTCCTTACTTCAGTGCCTGTTGCAGATGAAACGCATATATACCTGCTTGTGTTGTGGGCTTGGCAGAGGAGGCCCACCTCCAGACCAATCAGGCCTTCTGACAGCAGACCCCTCCCAGTGACAGTGGGGATGGGACAGGCTGATTATCAATGAAATTTCTTCCCATTTGAATTTCATCCCGTTCTTTTCGACAACAAACATTTTTCCAGGATGCGTCAGGATGTGATGTGAGCAGAGTGCGCTGGTGAGACTGGAAGGCAGGCAGACGACAGAAACACGCAGACTACCTCTAAATGCCACAGTTAGAAAGGAATACTTAAATCTGTCTACACTTTTTCCCCCCCAAACCATAATTATAACGTAGTTTCAGTCTCTTCTCGCTTGGTTTACCCATGACATTTGTACGCGCCGTCCTGTGCGCGTTCCTCGCCCCCCCCTAAAGGAATCGCGCACACTGCTGGCATTACCAAAAGAGTCGCTACTATTTTGGCACTGAACCTCAACTACCAAAAGCGGGATCTGTGAGCAGCTTCCGAGTGAACGGTTCAAACCTGAATGATCCGGAGTTCAGGATGAATGGAGCACAGGGCTGCGCAGTCAAACCTCCAAGGTTGGAAACAGGCAACAAAACGGCCTTAAATATAATGTAGGTATTTGTGGAATGCAGCACATGACAATTTGGAGGCACTGCAGCCTGCTTCATAGTTCAGATGGAGATACATTAAAAAAAAACAAAAAAAAAAACAATAAGGCCTACATTGATATGACAGCTATAAGTGCAGATTTAGATTTTCAAATTAAAAGCATGATCATTTTTATAATATATGAATTGTTCCACTTGTATTTAAAAGTATAAAACTGACACAAACATAAACATTTGAGATCTCACCCATTATAATCACATCATATAAAGACACCCTTCTCCTGCAAAACTATACTTTTGAAGCTTTCCAACACCTTTGAACAAGATGTTCTATTTAACATTAAGCATTTACATTAGGCCCTCACATCTTTTTATCTGTTATGGATCTGAGCTCATTTTCAAATACTGAATGTAGGTCATGTTGTGAGGTGTGGTTGTTTATTCTCAGTGGTGGAGCAAGTGTTCAAATCTTTGACTAAAATAAAAGTATTGCTGTAAAAGTCCAGCACTGAAAGTAAGGAAAAGTATGAATCAGGAAAATGTATCTAAAGTATTACAAATCAAAGTACTCGGTGCAGGAAAATCGCCCGTATGACTGTAATAATTTTACATATTATGTCATTAGATTATTATCACTCACACACTAAAGTAAAAGCAGGATTTTACTGTTGCAGTTGGTTAAAGTGGAGCTCATGTCGAACTATTTTGTATGCAAGTGCAACCAGTGATTATTGTCATTATGTATTAATCTGTTGATTATTTTCTCCATTAAGTGATTGATTGTTTGGTTTTTAAAAATTTTAAAAATAGTTAAAAAATGCTGTCAAAAGTGTTCTCAGCAAGTATAACTGTCATTGACTAACTGATTAATTGACAGATAGTTTCAGCAGTAACCACAAACTGCTGCTTTGTTTGATGTCAAACAAACTATTGCATTTTGTCAGTTCTTGTAAAGTGAAGTAAAAAGTGAGAAGATAAAAAAGTAGAACACTAACTTCTGACATGTAGTAGAGTTGAAGTAGAAAGTGGCTTAAAAAGAAGAGACTCAAATAAAGAAAAAGTACCTGAGGTTTGTACTTGGGTACAGCATGTGGATAAATTATATCAAATCATGTTTATTGTCATTTTGCTTTAAATACACAGTAGAACAGGCAAGTGTTTCTTCAGGATCCAATAACTTAAAGCAATTTAAATCAACAAGTGTTTGCATATCCAGATCAGCAGTTCAGCATTCTGACAGCATGTGGAAATAAAGCTGTTGATCAGTCTGGCGGTTCTTCCTTTAGTGCTCCAAAAACGTTTGCCTGATGGCAGCAGTTCAAGCAGTTTATGGTAAAGGGTGTGAGGAGTCCCTGACAGTGTTCAGTGCCCTGCTCCTGCAGCGGCTCTGGAAAAGTTCTTGGTCAGAGGTGAGGGAAACTCCGATGACCCTCTCAGCTCCTCTAACTATCCTCTGCAGGGCTTTTCTGTCTGACATATTGCAGCTGGAGTACCATGTTGTGATGCAGTATGTCAGAATGCTCTCCACCACACTTCTGTAAAAAGTCTTGAGGATGCTGGCAGGGAGAGAGGCTTGTTTCAGCTTCCTCGGGAAATGCAGTCTCTGCTGGGACCATCTGATGATCGCTGTGGTGTTCTTATTCCAGCTCAGGTCCTGTGAGATCTGCACTCCGAAGAACTTGATATTCTCCACTCACTCCACTGTGCAGCCGCTGATGCTGAGGGGAGCATGCTCAGGACGTGACCTTTGGAAGTCGATGATCATCTCATTCGTTTTTTGTCCATGTTGAGCAGCAGGTTGTTCTTACTGCACCAGCTCTCTCGGTGTTTCACTTCAGCTCTGTACATTGATTCTTTGTTTTCACGAATGAGTCCCACCACTGTGGTATCATCAGCAAACTTGATGATCTGGATCCCCTCATGTGTGGCTGCACAGTCGTGTGTTAGCAGTGTAAACAACAGTGGACTGAGTACACAGCCTTGAGGAGATCCAGTGCTCAACATGATGGAGTTGGAGATGTTCTTTCTGACTCGGACAGACTGGGGTCTTTCGGTCAGAAAGTCCAGGACCCAGAGACATGTGGAGGCATCTAGGCCGAGTAGGAGGAGTTTCTCTATTAGTCTCTGGGGGATGATAGTATGAAACGCTGAGCTGAAATCAATGTACAGGATTCTAGTGTAAGTGTCTTTATTTTCCAGGTGGGTGATGACTGAGTGCAAGGTGGTGGATATTGCATCCTCTGTGGAGCGGTTGGGACAGTAAGCGAACTGAAGGGGATCAAGCAATGCAGGAAGGCTGGCTGTGATGTGTGGTTTGACGAGCTGTTCAAAACACTTTATCACAGTCGGTGTCAGTGCGATGGGGTGATAATCATTCAGACAGGCCACAACTGATTTCTTTGCTACTGGAACTATGGTGGATGTCTTGAAGCATCTATAATGTCAATGTACTTAGTTAGATTCCACCTGCTTATTCTAACATTTCTCGAACAAAAGTGCAGGAAACTTAAAACGAGCTGAGTTGAGCGCTTTAATTACAAAAAATAGTGAAAAAACTGTGACAAAAGACATCACCATAAAAGTTTTCTAGTAGATTACTACTAGATTACTTTCTAGTAGATACTAGATTCTCTATAAGAGATTTTGTTTATTACCAGTTTAAGGAAATGTAATATGAATATGCAAATAAGATATTATCACATTAAATATATGATCATTTGCATAAAATATACAGTATAATAAAATAAACACCTAAATGTGTATTTTGACATTTTATTTCCATAGTCTGAAAGAAGACATGCTATACAAGCAAAACTAACCAGAACATGAAAACCCCCTCTTTGCCTGTAGTGTTTTGCATAAAATTACATTTTGTACAAATCCCATCATGTCTTCAGGACTATTAAACACTTCCTGTGCCACCCATTTCCAAAAAAATCATGTGGATTGAGGACAACTACACTATTTAAAAATATACAAAAGTCAAACTAAAAGCAAACACTTTTCACAGTTATTTAGAAATCAAGAATGTGGAAACAGAAAGCTCTCACATCACAGCATTGATAGTTTTAACAATAACTCTGTAGGGAATATCTCTCTGGGAGTATGTGTGACACATTAAACTGCTGTTTTTTTTCCAGGACGTTTTGACTTGAAAAGCACAGGTGGAGTCAATAACTTTAACAATAGCTCAACTCCATTTAAATGTTCTGGTAAAAGCCTCTCCAGCAGCTGGCATGAACAACACGAGGCGCCTGCAAACTGGAGCTGCATGCTGTGCAACATTAATGCTATTAATTACACTTGTGCTTTTCCTGCTGTAACATTCCAAAATGTCAGCTGTGAAAAAAAAAATAAACGGTTTATTGTGGAGCTACTTTTACTCATTTTGCAAAGAATTACATGACTGTTGGTCTTGGGGCCAAAGGCTTCTCCTTAAAGGATTGCTACACCATCTGCTGGTAAAGAGATGCACACACAAAGATTTTCTGTTTTTAAAAAATCTGACCACCAGTTGCAGATTGCCTAATTTCCTAGAGTTATGAAAAAAAATCTTGGCAAAATTGTTATTTCAGGCTCTGTCTTTAGGGACAGAAATAGCAATTTATTGATACATATCTAAACCAGGTTGCAATTAATTTTATTTTTTTTTTACAGAAAAACGTTTTTTTGTCGAACCCTATCTAACATTAATTTATTCTGCTTGCAGATACAGGACCAGTGTGTCTCCAGCCAGTGGTAAAACTGGCGTCACCAAACCTCAAACAGATTTGATAAGATGACAAACAGTTTCCTTCGACTAAAACCCCTGCAACACATCTGGACTGACCATAAGCTGTGGTGCATTTGCAATATCTAGTGGTTGCAAAAAAAACCACATCAGATCTGAGTCAGAGCAAAATCATTTTTAAAGTAGCCTCCATGATGCAATTGCAAAGTTGTTTAAATCATTTGAAGACTGCGTGATTGATTACTTAGAAAACACTTCCATGCTTTATTTTTCCATAAGGAACTTGTTTGGTATTGTGTCATTAATATCATTTAAGTTTTGACTTTGTTCCATTTAAATGTACCAGTAATCAATGCAGTCAGCTGGCATGCACATAACCAAGGTCCTGGAGCCAGTAAACATACATGGTGTGCAGCTATGCTGTTTGCTTTCCTATACAATGTGCTGTGATGCTTGTGTACGTGGGGCCTTGGTGGTAGGTTTTATTTGAACGTTGGGTTCAGGAGAAATTCTGAGCATCCATCACTTCATTTCCTACATTCCAAATTCACCAGGTGACAATTTAAAAATATACAAGTAGGGATCTCAGGCAATTCTGTGTAAGGCCACATTTACACACAGCCAGTATTTACAAAAACGGATCTATGTTTTCAAAAATAATATTGTTCACACAAAATCGTTTTGAAAAAAAAACTCTCCATTTACACAAATCCTCATAAACACATCGTTAAGAGCTGCTGTGAGCATGCCAAACCTATAGGGGGCAGTGCAACGAAAAGCATAAAGCCATGTTAGCCACCTGAGAATCCTGGAAAAACACAACAACCAATGACACAAATTGCTTCCTGTTCAACGATAATGGCGCGAAGGTCGTTTGTTTGGACTGACAGAGAAGTGAAGCTACTCCTAAATGTGGTGTTATAAAACAAGTAAAATACTTGATTTCTATCGCAGTAGCCAAACTGTAAACATGGGTTGCACACGTATGACACTGATGACGCTTTTGTTGCATACTGTGATATCAAACTCCGTCTCCTCCTGTCTACATGCAAACGTAAAGATGGAGTTCTTACAAATCTCCACTTTGGCCTGAGTTTTCAAATAAGTAAACCAAAGGCCCAAACGCATTGAAATATCACCATTGAAATACCACCAGGGCCACTTAGGCCTTGTTTATACGTAGCAAAAATGGTGTAGGTGGCAACCTCCTGTGCTGAAAAACGAAGCTTTAAAAGACCAAAAGCGGCAGTTCCTTGAATGTCCACTTGAGGCTGGCTGTAAAGGACAGTCAATCCCCACAGACCCCCATTTCAAAATGCAAAACTTTAAAGTTTATTTGAAACATAAATTCTTCTGAAACATGAATTTCTACAAAACTCAACCACATATGTTGTATTCAGGGTAAAAGTTATGCACAGTCAAGGTTGCGGCTGTTGTGCTTGACAGGTGGAGGACAGTTCATGGTTCAGAGAGGTTTTCTTGGCTCGCCTCGGCTCCTCTCACGCTCTGCTCAGTTTTGAATCAGCCAGAAGTCAGTAACCATCTGGTCCTGCCAAGGTGGAAACAGAGCCGCCACACTGAGCTCGATTTGATAGGATTTTGGTGTCAATACACAATTTAGAACATGGATTTTTATTTATTGGGGCGGCATGGTGATGCAGTGGTTAGTGCTGTTGCCTCACAGTTCAAAGGTCCTGTGTTCAGATCTCTTGCCCCTCAGTTGGGATCTTTCTGTGTGGAGTTTGTGGATTTCCTCAGGTGCACTGGTTTCCTCCCACAGTCCAGACACATGCATGGTGGGTTAACTGGTGAATCTGAATCAGCTGTAGGTGGGACTGCTCGCTTGTTTGTCACTTTGTCTTAACTCAGTGACGGACTGGAGGTGTATTTTGCCGTTTACAAATGGAGGGATGGCTGCTATTTATGTGAACTGCATCAACCAATGGACAAAACATTCACCCCTGACCATCTGAAATGAACCCTTTCTGCTGTGCTGCTTGTATGTTTCACCCTCATGACCTGGACATGGCACCTCTGGTGGCCCCCCTCCTCATCCTCAGCCCTGCAGTCTCTCTGGACGCCTCTGGCCTACAAAGTCAGCTAACATTTGCTTTGAGCTTCACTTTATAAATGATTTGCAACATGTGTAAGATCCAGTAAAAACATCCCCTAGCGATGCATTTCATATTTATGCTTTTCTTGTGCTGACTCCTGCTCCCTCAGACCTCTCCGTGCACAGCGCGCACAGACCCGTTATGGCAACAAGGGGGAAAAAAGACAGGAAAAAAAAAAAAAAAAAAAAAGGAAAAGATTTGACAACATGGCGCACTTTCCTTGAGAAAAGTTTCTCCTGAACGCCACACAGCTCACTTCTTCGCGGATTTCCTCGCTGTTTATCGACTCTCTGGCTGCGACGTGGACTTTTTTCTCGGCTACATTTGGAACACTTTCTTGATGCGCAAAAAGTCGACACGAAGTCAACAAAGAGTGTGATGGGATGAGAGCGATAACCCGTCTCACAAACCAACACAGTCAGCCAGGATGGAGAAGCAAGCGACTCTGAAAGAAAAGGTAAGCAGATTGTTTAAACACAACCACTGTTTGTACGCTTTCCTGCGCGCTGTCATTGTTGCAGTTGTTGGCATTTTGTTGCCCCTCCGGATCACTTTTTTTTTTCCTCTCCGCGTCCTGGGCAGGAAATACCAAATGACCATTCCTGCGAAAAACCTCGTAAAAGACGTCTATCGATTTTCCAGTCATGCATACAGCACCGTGCTGCACCGTGGATGTGTGGGCTCTCCTGGCGCACAAGATACGCAAATGTGATTTAAATATCAATGGAAGATTACGCAGATTACAAAATAGGCCCCAAACCGCACTTATTTTCTTTTTCTTGCTTTCTTCTTTTTTTTTTTTTGGTTGTTGCATGAACAGAGAGGGTTGGCACTGCCAGGATCCTACAGTGGCAGAAAGTTTGTGCGTATTGCCATGAGCAAATCCACATAATTCCCCCAACAGGACTGTAAATATGTGCAGTCCAGACTAAATTTGTCTCCTGGGAGTTGAGTTAATCTCTCTCTGTATCTCCCTCTCCTTATGATTACACTGGTTGGGTGTCCTCTGTATTGGTGTAGGGCTCTCATTATCTCTCCACCCTTCCTGCCCACATCTACAGCAGGCAGCCCCCTTGTGTGTTGTTGCAGCAGCAGCAGAAGATGAGACTTGTGGACTTCCCTGCATTGCCCCTGGGCCCTGCAAAGCACTATTCCATAATAGATGCATCTCCTGACATTTCTTTGGAAGCAAACCTTTGAATGTCAGTGTGGCTGTCAGCTGTTCTCGGCCTGTTTGTGCATTTCTGAGAGGTTGCCTCTCCGTGACATTCAGCAAACCCTGTTTTCAAGCCTCCGTGCACACAGGTTTATCTTACCTGTTGAGATTATTTTTTCCCAATCTACAGGTGTTGAATTTCCTATTAGTTGTAGAGTATAAAACACTGGATGTTGTTATGTGATGTAAAAGATTATAGGAGAAGGTAAAGGCCGAGCTGATCGCTACTGCTTTGCAACTTGATGTTGAATCTACTTGATACCCAAAGCGCTCAATTCTGCTGCTACTACTCCCCAGGCCTCTGGAAGTAATTACCAAGCCTGCCCTATCCCAGAATTCAGTCCGAGGAGGTGTGGTGAGAAAGAGGTATAATGGAAGCCGGCCCGAAAAACATGCAACCCGAGATGAATTTCATGATTCAGTAATACTCAGCAAACCGTCCCTGTTAAATGGACTCGACACTCGCCGTAATCAGACGTTACTGGCTTGATGCAGTTACCGTAAGACTTGAGTCAGGGTCTGTTTTGATCTTGGCTCAGGAGTGTTTGAAGTTGAATATGAATGAGAACAATAATCCCACAATGCAAAAAGCCTGAGTCTAAACCAGGGATTGTTTTGTTGTGGTAGCAGATTTAGCCGTGCAATGAAGACGTCTGTTAGGTTGAATTTAACGCTTTTGTTGTGTGTTTAAACTGCTGTGATGAATAAAAAGTAAATGAGTGCAAACACCACATTAGACGCAGGCTTTATTTAGACTCAGTGACAACACGTTAGAGATAAATGCTCATATGGTGAGATTACTATGTTATGTGATTTAACTTCAAGTTAATATAGAAGTAAATGACAAAAGCTTCATCTGCAATAATTAAATAAACCTTTGACCATCTTGAAACCTGAATTTAATCTGTAATCGTGACAGAATGTGTACCTCAGAATAGATATTTGCTGGAGGCTACATTTGCTGCATCCAAAAGTGTTAATCTGTAACTTCAACCCCTCCTTCAATGAAACTAAAGTACTTAAAAAAAAAAAAAAAAAGTCAACATGTCCATATGCTGTTTTATATGCAAGAAGACACATAAGGATCATATCAAAAGTGGCAACATCATGGCTGAGCATTTACACCTTGCAACTGCAGTGTACTGATGACAGTAACAAACACACAGATTCAGACGTCTGGGGTTTCATACATAACAAACTTAATGAACCAATCCTGTCTGCTTTTTGCTCTCACATGTATGGCTGAGTTACTCTAATATTGTAACTTGCCACTGTGTAGTGTATAGTAGTTTTACAGCGTCTGAGCAGAGTTGTAGGTGAGCCGGTGTGCTCATGGTGCAGCGAGTGGCAGCTGGCTGGGTGTAGATGGAGGCGGGGACTTTGCGGGTGTCAGCCTGCCATTGGCCACTCATCTAAGGTAGCTAACCACAACAATAACAACAACCTCTGGGCAGCAAGCTACCACACTGAAAATGTCAAGTTGTGCCGAGGATTTAGATTGTGCAGGAAGGAAACCCTGCTCAGTGTTTCGTTTAGGTTGTCCATTTTAATCACAGTGCTTGTCTCCCTGCATGCAAATGTCCGACCTAAACAATTCCACTTGTCACTATTTTGAGAGAACACCAAAGCTGCATTCTTTAGCTTATACTCGCCTATGTTGATTGTCATTGGTGTAAAGACGTACAACAGAGCCGGAGTGACCATTATGTTCTACAGAATGGGCTGACCAAGCAAGACTATACAAGACATAACGATGTAGATTTAGATCTGAGCCATTTCTTTGGGGATTAATTCAATTAACAGAGAGAGACTTTAAAACTTTGATTTGAGCTAAAATAAGCCAACCTTCATACAGTTACAATAAACCAAATTGTATACAATATAGACAGTCAGTATCATTGACTTGTCAAATGGGAAAAGAAAACAACACTAATGATGACCTCATTAATTTCATGTCTCAGAAAACTGTTCCGCTGATCTGACATGATTCCTGCCAGGGTCCAGCTGGCAAAACTAAATGACCTCATAGAATTATTAATGTCACTAATTAACTTTGTGCTTTGCCTGCAATGACATGTTGAATATTTGCCTTTTAAAAAGGTTTTTTTTTTTTTTTTTTACTTCAGAAACCTCAGTATTTCTGTGATGATGAGTGATTTTGGAGTACAGGTTTTCTCATACACTTTGTCTAAAACTCCCTCATCAACATGTCCTCACAGCTGTATGTTCTGATCGTTGCTCCAGTGCCGATGGACAGCAGACATTTTGACTTTATAGCAGCCAGAGCACAGGTGTATTTGATAACATTAAAAATACCTGAATTCCATTTGAATGAGCTACTTCCAGGATCCTGCCATTGTTCTCGCAGGCTGGCTGTCTTCCTGGGCCACCTGATGGAACAGAGTCATCTTTAATGAAATTTGTTTCACCAGTGCTTTTCCGACTGTGACAGCTCAAAATGCTGTGAAAAAGCCCCACTGAGTGCTTTTCTTAATGGAATTCCTGTTGGTTAGGTCACACCAATGATAGCTCCTCTGCTCTCTCCTCCAGTTCTCAATCTTCGGTTCCCGGACGGTGGGCCGACCTATCCGGTGTGTTCCTGGAGACGACGGGGCCAGGTACGGCCTCAGCAAGGCCGAGTTCATGGAGAAGGTGCAGCAGAGCAACGAGGCGTGTCAGCGAGGTGACTTTCAGGCGGCCGTTCATTTGTACAGTGATGCATTGCAGGCCGACCCACAGAACTGCATCCTCTATAGCAACCGCTCAGCAGCTTTTCTCAAACTGGGCCAACACCAAGCAGCTCTGGACGATGCTCAGAGAGCTTGTGAGCTTAATTCCAAGTGGCCAAAGGTAAGTGTGCCTCAGCAGCTTAAACTGTGGATTTGTGGAAATTGTAGGTGTTATGTTGCAACAGTGGAACAACATAAGAGAGAAGGCTGAGTTTTTGGTGCTTTGTTTCCCATTTTATGTATTTTTTTAAAGTAGAAATTAATGCTCTAGTGCACCAAGGATCTCAAGCATTAATGCAATTTTTGGGCTTTCATGCCCATGTTATTGCCAGTTTGAATATTGTCAGCATTTAGCTACATATATTGAAATAGAGCAGTGCTTTTTATACGTGTGAGATATCAATGGAGTTTATAAAAAGGGTATTTTCTGTAGTGACAGTTTTGGTATTGTTAGCAGAGACTTTGTAACGGAGAGACTTACCACTGACAGAATCTTTAATAGAAATCAGTGGTAAAATTCCGCAATGAAAGTTGGCAGTTGTTAGACATGTGTTTTATCTGCTCTGTAACAGCTGCACCAGGAAACATCCAGCCAAGTGTATTGTTGCACTAATGCAACCCTGGCACTTTGAAACTGTGCTCATGGGTCATAGAAGTAGAATCTGTGGGAAAAATGCATTTTAGACCTTATTTTAGCGCAACGTCACCAAATGTTATGAGCAGCTTTAATCAGGTTTTAATGGTGATTTTGTTACATGCAGTTTTTATTTCAAGGTGGTTTCTGAGTATGGCTGTAATTAGAAGTATTTTCATTGTTGATCAATCTGTTGATGATTTTCTCGGTGAGTTGTTTAGTCTATAAAATGTCAGAAAACGGGGAAAAGTGTTGATCATTGTTTCCAAAAGCCCAAAATGTATTCGGTTTACTGTCATAGAGAAGCAAAGAACCCAGAAAATGTTCACATTTTAGAAAATTATCCAAATATTTGACGATTATTTAATTGTTGACAACTTATTGATGAATTGATTATTGTGGCAAAACTTGACTACGTGGGCTTTGATATCGGTACAGCTGCTCACAAAGTAGTGCTATAGTTCTATTATTGTGGTTGTAGTTGAAATTATTTTTGCACCATTTTTTTTTTTTTTAACGTCTGACAATGAGATGATTTATTTTCAATTCAAAGTGCTCCAAATTCCAATCACAGTTTCACTCCTCGGTCGCATTCTTGTGGCTGCTGATCAATACAAACTTTTCTGGGGTCTTGTCTTTGATCTTGTCCGGGCCATGTGGACTAACCTACGATAGATTTCGCATTACTCAGCCACAGAGATCACTAGGAGACCAATTCCTCTCAGTGATAGAAATGCATTGATTTCATGATTTAGCATGGAGAGATACTTTGGTCTTTCGAGAGAGAGATTGATGATAATGTGGTGGAGTGGTATTGACGATAATTTGTCGCTACCAATGATGCATCAGTGGCCACCTCTTCTTTGATCTGAGGTCGTGTGTCTTTCCTGTGCCCAGGTAGGTTTCCTCCTCTGTAAAAATGTGTCTTTGTAGTGAGACCTGAGGCTGCTGCTTTTTAATGCATCGGTGGTGTTGTGTGCTTGCTGCGTTGTCTCATGGTGTTGTGAGTAATACAGAGAATATTGAACTACAGTGATTAGTTGTTGACAGTTAAATTCATTATTCAACTATTGTCAGTAATTTTTTAAAGAAAATAAAAGGCAGAATTCTCTGATTTCAGATTCTTAAATGTGAATATCTTCAGGTTTTATTTACTCTTGTGTGATGGTAAACTGAATACCTTCAGGTTGTGGACAAAACAAGACAGCTGAGGATGTCATTTTTTGGATTTGTAAAACATGGATTGGCATTTTTCACCAATTTCCCACATTTTTTGAAACACACTACAAATGGAATAAATCAAGAAAATAACCAACAGATTAAAGATGGATGAAAATCGTCATTAATTGCAGCCCTAAATGAACACCTTCCACCAGTGTAGCACATTTCTCACCGATTGTTTCTTCCTGTTTGTGTTGTCATGAATATGCAGATGCAGTTTCAGTGCACTGCTCTTTTTTTTTAGTCATTTCGTATTATAAATTGCACAACAGAAGTCTTCACTGTTCGCTGTCACTTCTCTCTCTGCAGCATTTGAGCGTTGCCATAGAGTACAGAGATTTCATAAACCTCTGAAGCCAGTGAGACCAAACTATAATTGAAAATCACTGCCAAAATCATTCTCCTCCTCTTTATATGCTATCCAAGTACAATGAACTCTTTGTGGTCTGACTGGGGGATGGTTGACTTAATCTAGGCTGTGTAGCTCTGCTTATTCTTGGATTTACTGCCTGACAGCTTCGACTCTCATGCTCAAGCCTGCGTTATCAGTCCTGGTGTCGATGTATAGCTTGACCTTTGTGTTTTACTTTGTAACGTGAGACAAAGGGATTAATATGTCTGTGGTATTGACAATTATACTCAGGGCTGTATGCTTGTGTTTCAAATGAAGCTTTGGGAATCACCGCTAGGGGTCAGTCTTGTCAAGCAGGAAGGGCTGTCAAGCGGTTTTGTCTGTGCAGGACAAAAAGGCACTCAACCAATTTCTTTTCCAAGATTCCTTTTTTCCTACATTTTGTGGGTTCAAGTAAAGCTAAATGTTGATCATGATTGGCTTTCATTTCTAGGAGAGGAATGTGCTTAAGCATGCATCATCATCTAGTAGCAAGGAGGGTTTTTCTACTTGATAAATGTTCAGGTGGAGGCCAAGGTCACAACAGATCTGTCTTCATTTTTAATTTTTTTTTCCACAGATATTAAAAATGAATCCCATTTGGCAAATATAAAACCCTATTTTTTCTAATCGGCGTTGGGACTTTGGCATTGCCATATGCTCTGTGTGTGTAGTGGATGTGACTGAACGGTGGTATGTATTACAAGTCTTGATTCAGTCAGCGCTGCCTCAAAGAATCGATTAGCGATGGTGGTCTCGACACTTCTGGCATTGGCCTTGGGGGGGGGGGAAAGAAAGGCTCGGTGTTGCACAGTCCATCTGCTCTGCCTGGATGTTTGATGAAGGAACAGGGATTAAATCACAGGAGTGTGCTGGCATTCAGATCCTGTGTGAGTACATAATATCATCAATCATGCCTCCCTATGACTGCACTTCTGGATTGGCCCATCAAACAGTGACAGGCATGGTTTTGCTGCCCCAAGCACCAGCGAGCAGCCCACCCTACTGAAGCCCACAGCCAGCCTGTGAAGGAACTCCCTGTCTAATCTGTCAGCTTTCCCTGCTGTAAGTGCCAGAAAACACATTCTGAAAGAAGAAAGAAAATGTGTGGTTTAATGACCCAAGACAGCTTTAGGCCCTTTTGTACCTCTCCCTCTTACTGAATATAAAAAGCTTAAATGAGAACAAAATAGGGTGCCATTTTATAGACAAGGGGTGCACACTTTTTTTTTATGTCGCTTCACATTTTGTCTCCGTGAGCCGGCGTGGGAGGGTAACTGGGAGAAGATGTGTGGAGCGTAGTATAATCAAGCTTCTTTTCTTGTGCATTATTAATTTTTAAGTGCAAAAGGAATCATTCTGTTGCTTTTGATATATAGTCACGTGCCATGTAGGTGAAAAAAATGTCAGGATTCATGTGCGGCGAGTATTTTGTGATTCCGTGCTGTGCTTCAAGTGGCTTTTAGAAGACAATACTCTTCCTAGATGGAGTCCCGATCTGCTGTGCTCCTCCATCTGGTTCCTCCCTCTCAACGCTGCTGTTCCAGTGACATGTTAAACAAACAGCCCTCTCTGCTATCACTCCCATTCTCCTGCTCGAGCGCTGACAAGGAGAGCTCCTAGGGAACTAAAAGACAACTGGCACCGCAGTGTCAGGGGAAACATCTCTACCATTTGCATATCTTCTGATTATAGGTTATGATGGTGCTTATCAGGGGTATTCTGCCTCCTCGAATGTTTATTGCCAGAGTTGCAGATGACACCCACTTATAATGGCGGTTAAAAACCATCAAGCCTCATTTTTCAGATGTGGCTGTAGCACATTTTTTGCTATTATTTGGATACATTTTTCTTCTTCACCAACATAAAATATCCATTTGCATCCCAGTGGAGGGGGCCCCGGGTTTAACTGAGACAATGAGTGTTTGCGCTGGAAAAGGTCATGGTGTGTGGAGTGCTGAAAGGGAACTTTAATTACAGCAGCACCATATCCAGTAATTGTGTAAGGAGTGGATGCTGACACCCTGATGGGGCAGAAAGCTTCTTTGCTTCCAGCAGCGCCGGGTGATGGCACTGGATTTCGCTGTTACTGTAAGTGGAATAGGAAGAAAAGAATTACGTGTCTGTGTGTGATTTGAAGACTTCATCCTTTGCCACTCTCAGCAGCACTCTGCTTTTAATGTGGAAGAGAACCACTGGGGCGTAATGCTTTCCCCCCGTCGGTATGACAGTCCGTTAAAGCAGCTCCTCATCTGATCTCGGCGTGCGTAAAGAATAAAGAACCTGGGTTTTGATCTCACGTGGAGAGTAGTTACAGCACTTCTTCTTTCTTTTATTCACGCCGTCTGAAATATTTATCACATAACACCTTGGTGACCTGTCCTTTTATTTGGATACGCGCTGAATAATGAGCTGAAGACTTCACAGTGAAAAAAAAAACTCTTTGAAATAGTGTGTGTGTGTTTGTAAGCGCAAAGGGTGTGTGTTTGGTGGCCTGTTTGTTTTATTGCAGGAGGATACTGTAGCATTGTAACGCAGTCATTTGTATTCAGTGTAGAATTTGACTCTGTTTTCAAAATTGTTGATCAAAAGGCCTGTAAAAGCTGAAACTGTCAGCCGTCCCACTCAGTCGCTTTTCTTTTTTTGCCACATTCGCAGCGTGGCTCAATGGATGGCTGTCAGCATGGGCGAAGGTTTGTTTGAACAGAGAGTAGGAGGACGCATTAAATGGGGGATTTGGGGGTAAATTTGGGGGAAAATGTGGAGTGTAAAACACTTAATTTCCAACATTTCAGTGAATTTTTATGCACCAATTTGTACCTTCTCTGCATTTGTCTGGGTTGTCTTTGGGTTAAGCTGCTTTTCAAATTAAAAGTTATTTGCTTGCATGATTGGGGAGACAAATGCATGTGTGCTATATAAGGTGGACATCTCCCCTAAATTCTACGCTTAAGGCTGTCACTTTGGTCTGAAATATCTCAACAGTTCTTAAATTGATTACCTACAAACTTTGGGGATTGCCTGACTATTCTTCAAGAAGCATCATGTGGTTGATGTTTATGGTTTTGAGTGAAATTTAGTGCCCCATATAGGATGAACTGCAAAATCGTCTGTGATTTCATAAAGCATCATCATCTAGCCAATATGCTGCAGGGTGGTGCAGTTGGTAGCACTATTGCCTCGCAGCAAGAAGGTTGCCGGTTCGCGTCCCGGTAGGGGCACCGGAATCTTTCTGTGTGGAGTTTGTATGTTCTCCCCGTGCAGCGTGGGTTCTCTCCGGGTTCTCCGGCTTCCTCCCACAAGGTCCAAAAACATGCTGAGGTTAATTGGTGATTCTAAATTGTCTGTAGGTGTGAATGTGAGTGTGCTTGGTTGTCTGTCTCTAAGTGTAGCCCTGTGATAGACTGGCGACCTGTCCAGGGTGTCCCCTGCCTTCACCCTAAGTCAGCTGGGATAGGCTCCAGCCCCCCCGCGACCCTCATGAGGATTAAGCGGTGTATAGATAATGGATGGATGGATCTAGCCAAAATGATATTAATTTATCTAATCTTGTGACCAGATACCTACAAAGTTCACAACATTCTATTAGCTGAGCATCAGTGGCACTTCTTGGCCTCAGTGTAGTCGGTCTAACCAGTTTGTTTTTGATTATTTATGTAAGATCACAACCTTAGCCTACACTTCAACTCAAAAATAATAGAGGTATTGTGAAATGATACCGTTTTGAATCATTTAACAGTTTTGTGATATCGGACAGGGCTGAACTATTGTATACTGTGTTCCCTCAAGTAGAAAACTAACCAAATAAAAAATGGATGCAGAGTTCTGAACTGTACTACGGGGCCACGCGATGTATCGATAAATATTTATAATACCCCTCGATGCATATTTATGATGAGCATGAGCAGGGTTGATTTGAAAGAGCTGAATGCGGATGACATCAACCTGCATTCCCGCCCATAGTTATGAATCAATAATTATAAAATATGAATGCCTGTAGTTAGACATGGGAATACCAATAGACGGCAGAGACTCATTACAATATTGTGCGAGGAAGTTTCTCACCAAGATGCCTTCTCAAATCAGGTGCCTGGCTTCTTGTTTTTTTTTTTTTTTTTTTTTTTGCATATCATTGGAAAAGTGGGGCACAGGAACTCACCTACGACAGTGTAACTGTTCAAAAGTTACACGACAAAAATAGATTTCTTGGAAGACTTTTCTATATTGTTAAATTCAAACCTTAACCTATAAGATCCACCTTGTTCTCATTCCCAGGGCATCAAATGCTGCCGTTTTGTCAAAGCTGCTGTTGTTTGACAGATATGTGCACTTTGGCGTCGGTGCCAGCCGTGTTAATATTCAATGCTGACAGACGTATAGGAGTCTTTCCAGTTTATTAGAGCAACATAAGGAGGTTTAAGAGGTGTGAGTCACAGCACTTCCACCCAGGAGACTGAGGCTTGTTTCCCCTGTTGGACCGTTACTTTTTTCACCCAGTTTTGCTTTATTTTCAGTCTCAAGGCTTGTTTACACTTGCAGTTTGGTTCAGTATAAGTTTGGGAAAAGATCATGGTTTGGGTTGAAATACAATCTGCAACACGAAGCACATGTTACAAGACAAACTTCCCTCTGTCTGAAAGGCAGCGACAGCAACGACACCAGCTGAGAAAATCTGACTGTGGTATCACAGCATCTATTTCTGACATTCAAGGATTTTTGTTGGACTGTCGGACTACTGTGTGTGTTGAAAAATGACACGAATGACACCCAACGTGCTCAAACGCGATGCCAAAGGCTCATATACAATCCTGGCTCTAGATCCTTCCCTCTTGTGCATGATAATACTGAACTGTATGTTCAGTGGATTAAAGCTTGGATTTGTTTAAACTGTCTGAAAAGCAGCACAGTGCATAAGAAGAAAAGAATGCAGTTCCTATCAAGAAAGAAAAACATTTTCTTTGCC